AGCATTTATTTTCAATATTTTCTATATCCTTTCCCTCCCCCCCTCCCCAAGTAGACAACGCGACAATGTCCCTTTCCCTTCTAGGATGCCATACAAGTCACAGTTTCTGACCGGTGAAATGTAGTGTCTATCTTGAGATTATATTTCACAATTCGAGGGCAAGACAATGCAGGTGTGCCAGTTATTTGAAGGCGAATATATATTGCAGATAGGAATTATCTTCTCCTGACCATCCCACTCCCCACACCCCGGATACTAACATCGTGTTTGCCTACCCCTGCACCTCTAGTCACTGCGTCTTTGTTATCGCTGGAGTTACAGCTGCGTACCAATCACCTGCTGCTCTTCGTGCATGTGTGAACATCCATTAGAGCACCGTGCAGTCTGGTATGTACATTACATATCAGTAGGGGTGTGTTTTATCACAAGTCACAATTCAACGTTACCTGATATTTATTTTAATCCATGGTGATATTGCAAAATATCACCTGACAGGATAACTCAATCATCAATAACGGGTAAATAATCAAGTTTGTTTGTTTGTTGTTTAACGCCGCATTCAGCAATATTCAGGCTATATGACGGCGGTCTGTAAATAATCGAGCCTGGACCAGACAATCCAGTGATTGACATCATGACCATCAATCCACGCAATTTGGATACAATGACATGCATCAACCAAGTCAGCGAGCCTGATCACCCGATCCCGCTAGTCGCCTCTTACGATAGTCGCCTTTTACAGCAAGCATGGGTTGCTGAAGACAAATAATCAAGTCATTGTATAACAATACGCAGCAAGTATTATCTTTGAGGGAATGTTTCCTAAGTGTGAATTTACGACATCATTTTGTCCACATTGCTTATTGAGACTAACAAATAAGATACGTTTTTTTAACGATATGTGGACCACAATTACCCAAATGTATCGACATCGCGATAAATCGTGAAATGAAAGTACACGTCGAACTGAGATATCACGATTTCGATATGGAAGCGATTGACCGATCAGCCCGTTCTACACACACTGGTATATGCACACGCCTTCATTTAATGCTTTGTTTATTAAGGCAAGTTTATCTTTGATAGGTGAGTAAATGTTGTTTGAGGCCGCATTCAGCAACAGTACGACCGTATCATGGAGGATTGTTAATAGCCATGTCACACAATTAACCAGGTCACGTACGCGTATTGTAACTATCCTATTCGAATTTAATACTAGTGTGGCAAGCATGAGTGACTGGGGACCTATTATTTCCAGGAATATTTAGATTCCCAGTCTCTACCTACGATTTAACCGCGATATCATTAGACAAGATCTTTCCCGACAGGAGATGGAATCGGAGTAAAACATCTACTTTTCATGAGATCAATTTACTTTTGTCATGGCTGATAATAGCGACTGACAGCATGTACCATTATCGAAACATTTATTGGTAGAAAATCTGACCAATCTGCATCCTGCTGACGGAAATCATGGAATGGTACCGGACGAAGACGTCAATGACGTCACGACGTTGGAAGGTTACGGTTGACCAGTCAGTGTGTGAATATCTCTAATCATGCACCAGTCACTTCTGACTGCTGTCACTCATGTGTGGTACTCTGTCCGGGAGGTACTGCAGTATTCATGGCCACTGACGTAGAATTAACACACGGATTAATCTATCAATGACATATGTGGAAACGATATATTAAAAACATATACTGAACAAATGATGCTAGGAACATGAATATTTCTGATGATATTTTCTATGAATTGTGTGCTTAGTTTCACTAGAAAAAATATTCCCCCAAATATTCATGATCCCCAACTTATTTTGTTCAGTATATATTATATTGATTACAGGGGATTAGAGCCCGTTGGTATTAAAGCGGTTTAGCCGTCACACGAGGAATTTGGAGCATTTCATGGACAACATTATATACATTACCAATCCATCCTGGCATTATTAGAAGCGGTAACAAAACCAGGATTAGTCTACGACAGATACGCACTACATTGTGTATTATAGCACGACTTTTGGTGATCACAGGGTCAAACCTGGCGGCTTGTGAGTCACCGTACTCATGGTTGGGGCGATCTTCCCGAGGCAAGAGAGTTAACTGACTTTAAAAGTCTCAGTTTCCACCCTTGCCGAACTAGGCGGGAATTCCTGGGCTCGATCGTGGCGCCATTGGTGGCTGTGACGAGTTATATCCCTTCTATGCCTCTCCTATGGACAAATCAGAACTAACCTCTCGTATCACTTGCATTTGCTTCAAACAAAATGGCGGCACCCAGGCAAGACGATCTGATCGACAATCAAGATCCATGTTGTGATAAAACGGCTCTTACATCGCGAAGTGCATCAAATCACGTGAGCAACTTGATTAAAAACTTGAAAAGATTTGGAAAATATGTGTTGACAACGAGTTGTCGGTGCACATGCTGTGCAAATCCTGCAATCGACCGAACTCTGCATGACAGTTTACGAACCGGATATCGGTTTCGTTGCGTGATTTTGATTGGACTATGCATATAATCGTTAGTCCAGCCAAAATGTAACTCCATAATACCAGCTTAGTTCGGCAAGGGTTGAAACTGGACTTTTATAATCAGTTAACTCTCTTGCCTCGGGAAGATGGGTTGGGACGTGCTCATGTTATCAAACACTGGTTTGGGTGTTCCAGATTCGAACATCCATAGGCCACCGTGATGAGGCTGTAGTGTTCCGGTGGAGCGATGCGTCATCGTACACCTGTACACAATATCTTCACCAGCGTCAGTTGCTGGTGGGAATAGCCCTCGCTCTGGGTCCTTTAACGACTGAATAAACATATAAGTACAATATATTTTGCTAAGAAACAAACGCTTACGTGGTGTTCGGGTTCAATGTTGGCGAAATTCGTCAGTAGCACATTTCTATGTTAAGGTCGAAAGTAGATTTACACAGCCGGGCAAAAGAAAGTAGACACCCATGTTTGTTTTATGGTGGCTAAAAATGAAACAAACAAGAAATGGTAATTCGATGGTGATGTATTTTATAAGGGTACCACAAGCGATATGACATGTATCATATCAATGAGTATATCACAATAGTCGACTTTTTTCAGATTAATAACGTTTGTAATATTTTGGTAAAATACAGTTTTCAAGTGTATACTTTCTTCTGCCCGGCAGTTTACATACATTATTAAGACATTGAACACATCCATGTTTAAGTCATACTGGTCCCTGTCGAGGCTCGGTTTATGTTGCATTATATACGATCAATGCACAGATGAGATGCCTCCGCTATTTTTAGGAAAAACAGTCACAAAAACCATGGCCCGAGGGTATACCAGACTAATTGCCAACATTTCCACCAAATAGAATCTAGCGTCTTTACCATAAAATCTGCCTCTCCTATTACGATATAATTACCCAGTTTAACATAGGACAGGAGCTGGTTTTAAGCTGGCTAAAAACAAGCTTACGAATTTGCTCTAGGTCAATATTGTAGAATCATTGTCAAACGTAATGGCAGTGTCATCCTGGACGTGATACAACTTGAGTAACCTCCCTTGGGTAGGGCGTGTTTTTATAATATTAAGTGTATTGGAATACGATATTTCACGGCAACTTGATTACGGCTGTTCTGTGGCTATTAAACCAAATTTATTGGTTATCCCTACTCACATTGCCATGCCGTCCACTTAAAACCCTGCTTGGTCGTTATTACTACCTCCCTGAAAATAGAACGTATTGATTGTTACATTAGTGGGTGGGTGAAAGATCGTGGGGAATACTTGGTAAAATTCTGAGAAGCTGACAACAGGGGATTCCAGATCCCCCCCCCCCCCCCCCCCCCACACACACACACACACACTGCAGAACATATTTGTCGTCATAAAGACAGGGAGACATAATTACAATTTGTGACCTAGGTGAGTATGTGTTCATAATATCAACCACTTCATTGTCGGACGCAAAATCAGACTAAATTATTTTCAGTTTATCAAAACATAGCTACATTGTGGCCTACTGTGGCGTTAAACAACTGACTAATATATCTTAAGCTGCATATACAGAAGAAATTTATCAATTAATACAGTCTTGACACCAATGGACTTATCCTATCGACATATTTTTAGTTTAATCTGTTTCTTTGTTAGCAATAAAGAAAACACGTCTTTATTCGGTCGTTTTCATTGCACACACTTACATCAAATCATGTACGCATAAGTACCATGGAAGAGCGAATAAATCAACGATGAATATTAATGAACATTTGATTAAGGCGAGTTTTACGAATAGACTGTCATGAATATATGCAGGGATTGCCCACTGTAATTTAAAAACTTGTTGTAATTTAATGTGTTGTCATGGCCTATTTCCTATCATGGCCGACGACTGTTGTCAACACACAACAATAGTTTTTCTATGCTTGAATAATGAAGAACTTTCTGTTGTCTCCAGACAAGGAATATGACAGTGTCACGTTAATGTGACCACCGTGACATGTCTCACAACGTGACATGAATACCTGTACCGTGTACGTGGGGCTCTGGCAAGGCTACATCACACTGATACCAGTTCAAAACAGTTGTCATGTTACTAGTTCATACATTGTCCATATATGACAACATTTACTGTTGTGTGTGTGAGAGAGAAACACGTGTGGGAAGTGTGTGTGTGTGTGTGAGCGTAGAGAGTCGCGTGTGTATGTTAGAATGATACAAAGTGTGTGCAGAGTTTGTATGAGAAAGAAATTGTCTCACGAGAACAGATACATATATGAGAAGGGGGCAGACAGTGTGTACGAGAGATAAAGAGACACAGCGTGTGTCAACGAGAGAATGGGAATTCAGATCACTAATGGCGTCACAGAACACTTCACCACCGTAGACCTAACAACACATCGCATGAACCTACCCAAGTGTCGACTAACACCTCACAACTCCGACACTTGGTGACCACACCACACAGTCGACGATGACAGTGACACCTAAAGTCACAACACATCAACAACAACACCTACCGTACGGTACACTGTATTCCTCCAGTATATTCACCGCGCTCTCCACATGTCAAACAGCATACACTAGACTGACACAAATCACTGGTAGATCCGTGACGAGTGAACCAACAGCACTGTCTCCACGCTCAACGTCGAACTCACCACTACCACACGGTGATGTGGGAAACAACACTGTATAGTCACACTACAGCGACCAGCAATACAGCCCGCTTTACCTGTAGAGAGTAGGTAGCCTTTACCTACACACGACACATGCGATGAATGGCGGCAGATGGGCCTACTCTCACCTTGGGCTATCACAACTGTGTCACCAAGCCTTGGGTGGTTAGACGGGTGGGTTTAATCCTCACCATGAAGCTCGTGTCCTCAAAAGCTCTTAATTCTGTCTCTTGCCTAATATTCGAGAAATCGATAAGGAAGTCCGATAAGGTGGGTTACCTATCTGAGGTGAATTACAGCACTTGTCGCATAGCCGTACGCGGTTAAGTGGCCCCTGTGCAGATATGAATAGGTTTGAATTTAAAATTCAGGGTTCTTTTGTCAACGCCTTGGGTGTCTTGTCGATTTCCTGTTGTTTTTTTAGCGACGGTATTGTTTGATTGTTTACGTTTCATACACCGAACGTGATGGAGTCAGACAGGACGAGTTTATTGTGTGAATAGAGTTAGCAGTCCTAGAATATGAATTCACTTTGCCTTGTGATATTTTAAATGTTCTGCAGTGATTTAAGTTGTGAAAAAGGAAGAGTTTTAGGCATTGATAAACTGCGTCTCCTTACACTGCAGAGGTCCGTCTGAGTGAGTGTATGGATGTTATTTTACGCCGCGGATCGCTGTAATTACGGCGACCAGTAATTACTTAAATCTCGTCCGTTGGCTGAGAGTATTAACAACGAACCACGTCGTCGGCGTACGATGACACACATTCAACCTGGTCACACTCGATGCCCAGCTTAAGTCGGCTCGTGCGATAATTTTGAACGAATGGGGAGACGGCGTGAAGAGCTGGGTAACGAATCCGACACAGAATTCCCTTGGGGTGGCAAGCATGAAGTACTGGGCAACGAATCCGACACAGAATTCCCTTGGGGTGACAAGCATGAAGTACTGGGCAACGAATCCGACACAGAATTCCCTTGGGGTGACAAGCATGAAGTACTGGGCAACGAATCCGACACAGAATTCCCTTGGGGTGACAAGCATGAAGTACTGGGCAACGAATCCGACACAGAATTCCCTTGGGGTGACAAGCATGAAGTACTGGGCAACGAATCCGACACAGAATTCCCTTGGGGTGGCAAGCATGAAGTACTGGGCAACGAATCCGACACAGAATTCCCTTGGGGTGACAAGCATGAAGTACTGGGCAACGAATCCGACACAGAATTCCCTTGGGGTGGCAAGCATGAAGTACTGGGCAACGAATCCGACACAGAATTCCCTTGGGGTGACAAGCATGAAGTACTGGGCAACGAATCCGACACAGAATTCCCTTGGGGTGACAAGCATGAAGTACTGGGCAACGAATCCGACACAGAATTCCCTTGGGGTGGCAAGCATGAAGTACTGGGTAACGAATCCGACACAGAATTCCCTTGTGGAGACAGACATGGAGAGTTGGGTAACGGGACACAGAATCCCCGTGGGGAGACAAGCATGAGCCTCTGGGAACCTACCCCTCCTCAAATGAGCTTTAGTGTGGTCTAGTGTGATCACGGTGGAAATCGGTATATATGGTCTTTCAGAGACAAAATGGAGTTTTATAGACGACCACCAAGAAAACCCGCTGATGTAGCCCCATTGGGAATCAAACCCGACATACCAGCATGACAAGTGAATACACAAGATAGACGGGACACAGAGAACTAACGACATTCGTAACGACCAGTTGCACAACGCTACCTTAGGGCTACGACTGTCGTAAGTCTATGTTATAGTATGGGAGTTACGATCGTCGTAACGCTAAGACTGCTTTGTGCAAGTGGACCCAGGTCACTGTCTCTGTTCTATCAAACCAAAAGAAATAGCTTCATAGCGTGCTGTTTTTCCTTAATGTTCCTACCGATTGAGCAATGTGCGGTATATTAAACTGATTGATGACTTCAAACTAGCAGGTCTGATCCTCGAAGTCATCAGGTGCAGTTCGACTTTGAACCTTTGAAAACACTCGCCGATATCTGTTGTTTGCCCTCTTAGATAATATCTCGAGAGTAGGATGTAAACCACCCAGACAAGCAAGGTGATTGGCCAATTGGCTAAACAGTCACTTTGAGGGAAAAACCTCGATGTTTCAGATTGAGGAAGACTTGGGGATTGATATAACCTGCTTAAAGGTAACAGTTCTAAACTAACTGGGGTCTGGCGAGTTAGACTTAATGTCCGGTTGGTGGAGAGACCAGGTACACAAAAGTCAGTTCTTGGTTTGGTTACGGATTTTATATCCTAGTAGGCGGGATTCCGAATTGCGAGGTTCACTGTATGCGCACATCTACTGCCTGAAGAGTATATATGTCATGTTGTGTAAATATCACACAAGTTTCATATTCGCCAGCAGTTGCCCAGTCAACTGTCGTGCTGAGCTGCGCCCCTTAGTCTCTATGATCGTGGGTTCGAATCCCAGATCCGCCACGATTATGATCCTTGGTCTCTCGGCTCCATACCCGTGCTCTTGGGTTTCAACAGATTGCTAAACGCACGAGACCTGCGTCACTGTCGGCATGTTTTCATAGACACGGTAAGGATGTACGAGTATCGCAAACAACATCGTGCAATAAAGACATACATGTATAGTGTAGTTTCGGTTTAATGTAACGGTTGCCAGGACAAATTCCGACTGAGATTGTATGACCGTACAATGGCCAACTGCATCGATTTTCTTTGATGTGACAGGATTGGAGTGGTATGCATACTGTTTTACGGTCGCATTTCATTCCTAGTGTTTTTAGGTAGACAGGAGTATTCCACAGTCAAAAAACATTTAAACTATTTATATCTAAACATCTCATTGTTGAATCCAAGTCACTCATTATGTACTGTATTCGACTTGTGTTCTGGAACTCTGTAACGGAAAGATGTATAGGTGAGATGAGGTGAGGTGAGGTGAGGTGAGGTGTGAGGTGAGGTGAGGCGAGGCGAGGCGAGGCGAGGCGAGGCGAGGTGAGTGAAGTTTAACGTTGCGTTCAAGATTATTGCCCTTATGTTGCGACGTGCATGCACGTGTGTGTGTGTGTATGTGTGTGTGTGTGTGTGGTTCCTTGTACTAATCCGGACAAATGTCGGTTTCATAGTGCTACCTCACTGACATACCATGCCGCAGTTTAACATGAATACCCCACTCAGAACAGTATATTGACTCCGAGCCAACCAGTCATTGTTTTAGCCCCTAAATGCCGAGCACCAGACAGGGTAACAACAAGTACTTTTAATGTCATTTAATATGACGCGGCCGGGCATCGAACCCACAACCTTCTGGTCTCAGGGATGACGCTCTACCACTAGACCACGGCGGTCTCTTGATTGTACATGTATACTATATATAATAAGGGAGCGGTGTTGATTGAACAACACGTACCGTCTTCTAATGCCTTTTGGTAAAAGATGTATACAGCAGGGTTCTTAGTGTTAAGTTCACAGGTGGGTATTTTACTGGCTTTGATCTCTCGATTCCTGGTTAGAATACGTGCCCTGCATCCTATCGCTATCTTTGACGTACGAGGCGACTTAAGAGATCGGGTGGTCAGACTCGGTGACTTGGCTGTGTCATCGCACCCCATCGGACATAATGCTCTGCATCTCGGAGATGCCTTCCTCGCTACCTCGTAATACTAAGGCAGGGTGGAACTATTAATTCAGTTATGGTAAAAACCCACATGATTTGGTATTAGATTTGTTGACATTCGGGGAACCCAGCCCACAAGTGTCATCAAGTGTCCTATATTTGTCAAAAGAATCAGCTTTAAATGAGTATTGGGTGGCCACAATGGCTGTTTAATTTGGATAGTATTTGGATAAGGACATATTTATATTCACGATACATTATAACACGATGTAAAGTCGATACACATCATGTAAAATGTGTCAAAATGAAATTTGTGATTTCATTATTCTAAAGGCATGTACAAGTATTACTGTTAATTTAATTTACCTAAGTTAACCATTTGGGCGGTATTAAATTCCTTTGAAAATATCGAGGTACGAATCGTATTGCCACAAACTGTATCGATACAACCCTTTAGACCACAACAGGCACAGAAGCTCAACAGCTATCAGGGAGATTGCGTTTCTTTGTTGACAGGATTGTGGTCGCCCATATGTTTAACACTGTTTTGGGAGGACATTAAGGTCGCAAAGATGTAGCAATGTTGTTTTTTTCGAACGGCTTTGCAAAAATATATTTTCAAAGTGATTGAAAACAGAGACTCCCATTATATCATAGGATGCATGGCAGATGTATCAATTACTTTGCATTCCATTGACCCTCCACATCTCCTAGTGACATGCTGCCAAATTGTATAACGGCGTAAGACAACATTCACAAAGTTGGGTGACGGAATTAATCTGATCCCTCCCCGACCGCCACAGGGCAAGAAGAGTAGTCTCCCATGGAAAAACTGCGCCTTTTACAGACGCTTCTACCAGCAATGCCTCGCAACATTTACGTTTGAATTGTTCAAGAGTGCCTGTCCTTCAGAGAAAACAACAGACACACAAAGGATGTTTATCTGTTTATTACTACACATATGTCTGTTAAACACTGAGTAAAAATAGTCATACGGAATGTTTAATTTGTGTTGCATCTTGAGCGTTTTGATTGCCGCTCGATTAACACTGGCTATCGTGGGTTCGTCTCAACAATGACCCGTGGTATGCCCTTTCATGCTCGTGCTTCACCGTCTGTGTATGAAGATCTAATCAAGCAACACACTTTTTAAAAGTTAGTATTCAATCAGCTTGTTCACCATGTTAATCCTCACTGTATACCTGTCTTCATTACCTGTGTGTTATTTGCTATTCTTACTGACAGGTATATCTGGCTTCACTCAATTATCTGTGAGCTACTTGTTATCTATCATCTTCCTGAGGCAAGAAAGTTAACTGACTTTAAAAGTCCAGTTTCCACCCTTGCCGAACTAGGCTCGAATTACTGCGCTTGATCGCAGCGCCACCAGTGGCTATTACCAGTTATGTACCTTCTAAGCCTCTCCTATTGACCAATCAAATTCCAACTGTCGAATCACTTGCATTTGCTTCAAACAAAATGGCGGCGCCCAGTGAGGACGATCTGATCGATAATCAAAATCTATCTTGTGATAAAACGGGTCTTACATCGCGAAATGCATCAAATCACGTGAGCAGCTTGATTAAAAAACATGAAAAGATTTCGAAAATATCTGCTGACAATGAGTTGGCGTTGCATATGCTTTGCAAATCCTGCAATCAATAATGTAAATAATGACCTTTTATCAGTAAAATATGCATTGTTAGTTCAAATAAATTTCGTGGCATAATTGAGTTATTTTACGCCGCTTTTAGCAATACTCTAGTAATTAAATGGGGGCGCCCTGACATAACCTGACATTAACTACGCTCGCTCGTTAACAGTAGCACAGTAGTAAAGGTTTGTTGGATCTGTTTATGTGATTACTAGTCATGATATTTTGTATATTCGGAAAGCAAACGTCACAAATCATGGAATGATAAATTTACGGTTACAAACAATGGTATATATCAGTATATGTGTACTACATAACACCCGTCGAATACTGCCTCTAGGAGGAAGGGACAGAGGAAAAACGGGATCGTTGGACCTTCGGCTGTGGCGCCCTCTGTCCGTATTCTACCCAGGAGCCCTGCAATATATAATGACAGATGTTTGATTTACATACTCATACTCGTCCTCAAACGGGTTTCATTTCATGATTAAAAAAATAAGTCTCTTTGGCTTCCCACCGAATATGGAAACAAATGACAGTAAGATATATCCTTATGTTTTAGGTTTGTCATAACCATACACCTGCTCGTGTGATTTACCAAAGTGGTAAACATTTGAGACCTGCATCACTTCGGGCTTTCCTCCCACATTAAGCTGACACGCCAGTGACTTAGTACTGTTCAAAGCTACGTTAAACCCATCTCATCACTCACTGATACAGGACAGCATCACAGAGAGGTGATGCTGTATGTGTAATCAAGCTGTACTATTGTTACGTGGGTGCCGGTGGCGGATCCTGTTCTCGACAGTATACACTTACATGGTACACCGACACGTCTCCGAGTCCGCATTCACTGGCGGCCAAGGCGAAGATACAGGCTGTCAGACCGACGTAACACGATGCTATGATGGGCTGCTTCAGTTTCACGCCTTGTTTCTGGAACACTGACCACAGAAACACATAACCAGATATTAGGTTCTCAGTACTGAACACAACCTTACAACAAAAATACCTGCTAGGCAGACACATAATGTGCTCCCATCTCCCTTAGCTGCGGGAGGCGGCGTTGTAGAACCATACTCACCCACTTGCCCTTGTTACCGTATCTCCTCAGCCGTTCACTGTTTAATATCAGCCTTTTCATATTGTCCGTTTGAAATGTCTGCCAATATGGGTAGTAGGACTTACAGCGCGCACTTCTATATATCTAATTTGCTACAAATAATAGAGAGTGAGTAAGTGAGTATGGTTTTACGCCGCTTTTAGCAATATTCCAGCAATATCACCGCGGGGGACACCAGAAATGGGCTTCACACATTGTACCCATGTCGGGAATCAAACCCGGGGCTTCGGCGTGACGAGCTAACGCTTTAACCACTAGGCTACCCGACCGCCCCTGCTACAAATAATAAAATATTGTGATAATCTACAAACGAATGTCTTCTTTATTCACTTCCAAAATCGATATTTTTACATCGAAAGTTTTGAATAAGAATTCCAAATTGGAATAAGAAATCGATCGTGGTTTGAAGGAGGTCGTCATCGTGTTTTCCAAAACCGTTTTTCGTCCTTGATCTGTTATACTTATTCAAAGCTTCAGAAAGCTTACAGTTTGTCCGAACTGAGTTAAGTTTCTTAAGTTGCTAGGATCATCCGATCGTAGGTTCGAATCCCAGATACGCAGAGATTCTGTTTCTTGATCTATGGCAATCCTACCCTTGAGTTTGACATAAATAGGAAAGATATCTGCGACCTTCGGAATACAGTTACGCGCCACGTATGAGTTAAATATGGTCCTTGTCAGCGTTAAACCTTTACTCACTCACTCACATACATTAAAGAAGTACTATACCGCCCGACGAGTGAAACACGTACATGCAGTCAGATCCTCTTTGGTCTTGAATGTGACACCATCTTCTTGGTACATGGAAGGATAGGGGACACTCACAGCTCCTGGTATGTGACCTGTTTGTAGGTCAAGGCCTTCCTTCTTCATGCTAAGGGCGGGCATAAACGCCTGCAGGACTGTACGACAAAGTGACGAAAACAATACCGTTAACAGGTTACATAGACGATAAAGTATTGAAACAGAATGGTTTTGTGAAGTCACGATTTTCAGTAAGTATCTCGATCGTTAATAAAACCGAACGTATGTTTATGGATGTCCCTTTAGGCATTAAAATACGTTATTCTTATTCCTAACAATATAAAATGTCCACTGTCGTCGAAAGACAATTAACGTCGCTTGTGTTTAAATCGTCCCTCGGAACAACCGCCATTTGGCAATCTGACAGCTCGTTACGGGTCGCCGTGCAAAGGGTAGATAACTCTTAATGAGTGAGTATGGTTTTGCGCCGCATTTAGCAATATTCCAGCAATATAACGGCGGGGGACACCAGAAATGGGCTTCACACATTGTACCAATGTCGAGTATCGAACCCGGGTCTTCGTCGTGACGAGCGAACGCTTTAACCACTAGGCTACCCGATCGCCCCAACTCTTAATGAAAAGGACAGCGAACTTGCAATACATGAAGGTATGACGATAACGTGACCTGCATCTCTACCCTATATTTGTGGCATTGCTCTGCATCTGAATGCTTGACCTACATGTGAATGCTTGAGTGGATGTTGTTTCACGCCGCACATGGTCGCTATACTCCAGCTACATCGCGGCGGCTTGTAAATATTTGAGTCTGGGCAAAGCAAACCAATGGTCGATCGTATGAGCAACAACCCACGCCGTCAGGGTATGAATACGTACTTTCAGTTATACCCCACCTAATCTGCCCCGGATTTGAACCAGCCTGCTACATAACATACATTTTTACTATACATCTTTTGATTAGGTTGTATTTCCATATCTGAGACTGCAAGCTGTTTTGATCTGACAGTAAGGCTTCAATTGTATTCTGGAGGCAAGGCCGTAGTAAACTGTTTCTATAAAAAAAATCCAAGGGAAGCAACTGCCCCCCCCCCCCCCCCCCCCCCCCCACACACACACACGCGCACTGGGAGGAAGTTACTCACACAGAGATGGCTCCTGCTCCTCGCCGGCGAAGTTTTCTGGAGGTCTTGTGTCCACCAGTTGTTTATCAGCGGAGGTCATGATGTCATTGTAGGACGCCAGTAAACCTTTATCTATTGTTACAGTCACATCTCCATTCTGATGGGAAAATAGTGAGAAGAATGCAGTGGATAGATAGATGGGTGGATGGATGGATGGATGGATGGATGAGTAATGTGGTGGACAGCCAGCCAGAGAGATCATCTTCATTTTCTCAAAAGGGCTGACGATATATTGATAATAAATATAATTGTATTTTACAGTTACATGATGTGGGGCATATGGTTTGTACACTGTACAGGTAATGCATCTTCCCGAGGCAAGAGAGTTAACTGACTCAATAATCAATATTTATATTGTGATAAAACGGGTCTTACATCGCGAAATGCGTCAAATCACGTGAGAACCTTGATTAAAAACATGAAAAGATTTGGAAAATATCTGTTGACAACGAGTTGGCGGTGCACAGTTTTGCAAATCCTGCAATCGACCGAAATATGCACGACAGTTTACGAACCGGACTATGCATAGAGGTTACACACAACCAAATGTTTTCCCATAGACTTCTTTAGTAACGTTATATTTAAAAAGAATTTAACTAAGCATTCAACAGCTATCACCTGTACGTGTGTGCACAGTTTGGCCTTAGAGCAGCAATAGAAACATAAAAAATGACTAGCTTAGTCAGCTCCTTTTCCGAGTACAGGAAGCTAAACACACCACCCACAGTTTCGCAACAAATGTCACCTACTTGAAAATAGCTGTGGTCACATTCAGCATAAGTGATCATGTTGAAAAAGACAGTACTAAATATAGAAAAACATGGTCAGTTTTAATAACTGGATGGATGTACATTTGAAAGACATAAAAATCTTACAGAATATCCTCCAATCACAGCCTGCAGATATCTCTCGATCTGCACTGAAGGCAAGAAAACCGCACTGTCCCAACTGGTTCTGATTTGGTGTAGTAGAACCTAGACCCGTTAGTCCAGCCAAAATGTAACTCCATAATTCCAGCTTAGTTCGGCAAGGGTGGAAACTAGACTTTTATAGTCAGTTAACTCTCTTGCCTCGGGAAGATGAAGGCAATGTCACAGCGTTATCATAGAAAGCTATTAACGTTTTTTTCCACAATTGAAATGTTTTACATACAAGAAGCATTATATTAATCCACAAATTGTGTAGAGTTACCTGATGGTAAATTTTGCGTTGATACAAGAAACATTTAATTCCCGTCGGTACATTTACATTCGACGTCATTGCGATGCAATATATAGTTTAATTATGTTTAGTCTACACCAGATCGATCTACTCTACATCGCAGGCAGTAAGGGGACAGTAGGGGATAGCAGAACTCAACCTCCCTCTTCCCTCACCGCACCCTCTTCAAAATAACAGAAACCCTATATACACTCATTCACTCATTGACTCACTCACTCACTGACACATGCATACAATGAATGTATGTATATTACATAAATATGCCATCCCTACCCAACCCACCAGTTGAGAAAGTGGTTCCACGCTATCCCTAAGTCCTGGGTCCACCCCAGAAGCGTGAAGTCCCCTACCTGATGTTGTGTTGTCTTATCAGACACAGGGTACCCTTCAGACCGCCAGCGCTTCAGACCGCCGTCTAGGACTGATACGTTCCGTATCCCATACGCCTGGACAGGCAGAGAGAAAGTGAGAGTACATATTGCTTCAGACCGCCGTCTAGGACTGATACGTTCCGTATCCCATACGCCTGGACAGGCAGATAGAGAGAGTGAGAGTACATATTGCTTCGGACCACCGTCTAGGACTGATACGTTCCGTATCCAATACGCCTGGACAGGCAGATAGAGAGAGTGAGAGTACATATTGCTTCGGACCACCGTCTAGGACTGATACGTTCCGTATCCCATACGCCTGGACAGGCAGATAGAGAGAGTGAGAGTACATATTGCTTCGGACCACCGTCTAGGACTGATACGTTCCGTATCCCATACGCCTGGACAGGCAGATAGAGAGAGTGAGAGTACATATTGCTTCGGACCACCGTCTAGGACTGATACGTTCCGTATCCCATACGCCTGGACAGGCAGAGAGAGAGAGAGAGAGAGAATGAGAGTACATATTGCTTCGGAACACCGAGAGAGAGAGAGAGAGAGAGAGAGAGAGAGAGAGAGAGAGAGAGAGAGAGAGAGAGAGGTCTAAATAAATATTTCCAGAGTAGAAATTGCATTACGCCGCGTCAGCAGTTTTACAGCCATTCGCGGCGATGAACATAAAATAAACATTTACAACATATAGTGTACACAGTTCACAGAAAATCACAGAAATTACTCATCTTTCTCTATCAAACATGTTACAATACAGGGCCAAGTTCCACAAAGGTATCTTATCTCGAAAACTAAACTAGAGACCCAAGAGAACCTATACCCATGAGCTGATTTTATCATATGTTTGATTTTTCAGTTGAAAATATCTTATAGTTGGCGATATTATATTAAAAAGGTAGGGATCATGAATATTTTGGCGGATTATGCAGTGATTGAGCACACAATTTAATAAAAAATATCCCCCCAAATCTCCATGACCCCTGTAACGTTTGGTCAGTATATATGGCCGGTTGTGTTGATAGAACTGCAGGACAGAAAGTCACCGATCTTCTCATGTAATAATCATTCTGCCGAAGATAACAATTTACTGAAATAAATAAATAAAAATCTGCTCTGAATCAATGTATTTATTTCATTATATTTATTTATTATTTAATGAAGTGTATTGCCGCGATCGATGTTATTATTTTTAGACAGTATCAGTGGCTGTAACCCCAAACCCTTTTCATGGTCATTCCTTTTGACACATAACTTATTTAATCGAAATAGTCAGTGTACTTATTAAAGATAAATGGTTTTGGAACTGGAGGTATTAAGGTTTCCGCGATATTCTTTAATATACACATTCTTTAATATACACTCGCAAAATCAGAAACAGGGAGCCATTTAAAGACTTAGTTAGACTGACTGTTAAAACGTTATCGTTGAGTGAATCTTATCTATGTAATATCGATCAGTAGATGTCGGGCAATAAAAGAGATTAGTCAGATCGTAAACAATATTTACTCGCAACATCCACCATGCTCTTGGCGCGGCAAACCCATGAAGGTCCGTGTTTTCATACAGAATCACATGACTGGATGTATTAATCCCGAGAGATCTCGCGTAATCTTGAAATTCCGCCGGATCTGGTACATTCACTGGCAGGTGTTTTGTTGGCGTTGTGCTTTTGAACAAGTTCAAGAACTGGGCACCGTCTATATGGGCACTGAAACAGAGAAATGGAGTATTAGGGACAACGCTAAGAGAGTGGGAAGTAATATATTTCAGTAAGTGTGTCGTCTTGTATTGTTACAGAATAAAACATATCATGAACCGTATCGTCACATGAAAACACATAATGGCCCGGTGCACTGATGTATTGTTACACCCCTAGTCAACAGATACTTTTTGTTTGAATTTTTTCATTTTTCAAATTTCAAAGATAGAGAAGATCAGGCAAATAAACGTAAAGGTTTGCAAGGTTTTTCTTCTGACAATGTCAACTTTTCAGGGGTTTTATATGTTAAGTCAATACCTAACAGCTCTAATCTTCATATTTGTATCCTGAAATGTCTTCAGCAACCCATTCTTGCCACAGAAGGCGAATAGGCGTAAGAGGCGACTAACCGGATCAGGTGGTCAGGCTGGCTAGGCTGGCTGACTTGGTTGATGCATATCATCGTGTTCCAGTTGTGTGGATTGAAGCTCATGATGTCAATCACTGGATTGTCTGGTCCGGATTTGATTATTTACAGACCGCCGTGTGTCCGAAATAATTGCCTGTCCGTGTCTGGCAGATTATTTAAAGACTACTTACGTTTCAGTTTTATCATAACTCCTCGTAGATTTTCAAGTAATTGCTTGCTTTATTTCAGCTGAATCTAGATGAGAATTGCCTCCTTGTTTTTTTTGCGAATTTTCAATATTTATAATATCTGAATGCGTGCAGGTAACTTTGAAGATGGACAGACAGCATTTATGGGTCACCTGTCCGACTGCCATGTTGATTTTTAAAATTATTTCAAACACTGGTATGAAAGCCATATGTTTCTGAAAACTGATGCTCTACGGTAGAAGTCGTACCTATAGTAAGCAAATTCATGTACATGCACAGTGTTATTAATTTCGTGTTCCTCTAATAGGTATCTCAAGAACCAGTTACAATTGTACCAGATGTGGTACGGAATAAAATTTGGTCCCCCCTAAATTTAATTATTTTTGAATAATATCCACAATGAACGTCAATCTCGACGTTACACTCAACATTAAGGTCAAGTTGTCGTTTCCATGTCAAGTTGTTTACACGCTTCTGATTGGTTGGATTTGACGTAATCACTTTCATGTATTCACCCACCAATTAGGATTTGCAGCACATTTTGATAATTGTGTTCTGATATTGATTAGTAACACTTATTATTAAATATGTTTATAAGGATTGACTATTACTTTTTGGTTCATTGAGTTATGAATTGAAAATTGATATATAAATACTTGTAATAATGTGGGATAAAGTTATCAAATCAACAGCTTTTATTTTCAACCTAGAAAACGGTTTTATAATTCACAGTAATCAACTGATATATCTATTCATGATTGTCTTACAAGGTACATGGAAATATTGTTTGTATTGTGATAACTTGTCATGAAAGGTGTAAGAAGTCTCGCATCACACCGCATTATAGTAGTAATTGAGATATAAATGTAACACTTTGAACTAACCTTGTTCAGTGCATTTAAAGGTGCAGGTAACGTATTCTTTCCCTGCTTTGTTATACAAGGTTCATACAGGCTTGAAAAAACCTTGAATTTTGTGGTTCCTCTTGAAAAGTCTTGATTTTTAGTGTCAATCTTGAAAAGCCTTGAAAATCACCAATCCACGTTCTTTATGACTCAACGGATATGTTTAACACATCAGGGAAGCGGAGAAAAAACAAGATTCGTTCTTGTTCTATTCCAAGGCAAAAATCCATCTTTCATGAACCTTTTTGTGTCTTTATGCCTAATATATCCA